ACCAGGGCGGCAGCGAAGGCGGCGGAGGGGGGGAGGGAGGAGGGGCTGATGGGGGAGGTGAGGGTGGCGGCGGGGAAGGAGGTGGGATGGGCGCCTTTGTGGGAGGGTAGGGCGGCAGTGACGGCGGGGGAGGCGGCCAGGCGAAGACGCGCACGTGGCCCGCATCGTCGCCCGCGTCGTCGTTTTTGTGTGCCCCGGCGGCCAGCACAGTTCCATCAGCACTAAGCGAGACCGAGCTGCCAAACTCGTCGAACGCCGCCTCACCATCGATATCGGACCCGCGCTGAGTCCACGCTGACCCTTCCCAGGTATACACGCGGACGTGACCTGTGTCGGTGCCTCCGCCGTTGTTCCGGTATGCGCCAACGGCCAGCACACTCCCGTCGTCGTTCAGCGAGACTGAGTTGCCGCTCAAGTCGTTCGTAGACTCGCCATCGATGTCGGCGCCAAGCTGCGCCCAGGTCCCGGCGACGAGCTCAAACACACGGGCGTGGCCTGCGTTGCTACCTCCGTCGTCGTTGCCATACGCGCCGACGGCGAGCCTCGCCCCATCCGCTGAGAGGCTGACGGAGTATCCAGAATAGTCGCCGTACGCCTCTCCGTCGATGTCTCCGCCAAGTTGGGTCCAGGCGCCACTGACGAGCTCAAACGCGCGGGCGTGGCCACACCCGTCCCCGTCCTCGCCACACCCGGCGTTGTACATCGCGCCGACGGCGACCCTCGTGCCATCCGCCGAGAGGCTGACGGAATTGCCCGCGCGGTCGGCCCTCGCCTCTCCGTAGATGTCTCCGCCAAGCTGGGTCCAGGCCCCGCCGGCGAGCTCGAACACACGGACTAAGCCGGTGGCGCAATTTGTCGTGCCATCAAACCCGGTGGCGCAATGCCATTTGAAGCCGACGGCGAGCCTCGCCCCGTCCGCTGAGAGGCTCACGGAGAATCCAGACTCGTCGCCCGCCGCCTCTCCGTCGATGTCTCCGCCAAGCTGCGCCCAAGCGCCACCGACGAGCTCAAACACGCGGGCATGGCCTGCGTAGGCATTGCTACCCGGCGCGCCGACGACGACCCTCGCCCCATCCGCCGAGAGGCTGACGGACCAGCCAGAGCGATCGCCTGCCGCCTCTCCGTCGATGTCTCCTCCGATCTGGCTCCAGGCCCCGGCAACGAGCTCGAACACGCGGGCGTGGCCTGCCTTGTCTCCTCCGTCGTCGTTGTGAGGCGCGCCGACGGCGACCCTCGTGCCATCCGCAGAGAGACTGACGGAGTTGGAGTACTCGACCCCAGATTGGTCGCCCGCCGCCTCTCCGTCGATGGCTCCGCCAAGCTGCGCCCACCACATTGCCGGTGGCGGGCGGGGCGCCCTTGCGGGCGGGTAGGGTGGCAGCGAGGGTGGCAGCGGGGGCGGTGACGGGGGAGGTGAGGGTGGCGGCGGGGAAGGAGGTGGGATGGGCGCCTTTGTGGGAGGGTAGGGCGGCAGTGACGGCGGGGGAGGCGGCCAGGCGAAGACGCGCACGTGGCCCGCATCGTCGCCCGCGTCGTCGTTTTTGTGTGCCCCGGCGGCCAGCACAGTTCCATCAGCACTAAGCGAGACCGAGCTGCCAAACTCGTCGAACGCCGCCTCACCATCGATATCGGACCCGCGCTGAGTCCACGCTGACCCTTCCCAGGTATACACGCGGACGTGACCTGTGTCGGTGCCTCCGCCGTTGTTCCGGTATGCGCCAACGGCCAGCACGCTCCCGTCGTCGTTCAGCGAGACTGACCAGCCGCTCAAGTCGTTCGTAGACTCGCCATCGATGTCGGCGCCAAGCTGCGCCCAGGTCCCGGCGACGAGCTCAAACACACGGGCGTGGCCTGCGTTGCTACCTCCGTCGTCGTTGCCATACGCGCCGACGGCGAGCCTCGCCCCATCCGCTGAGAGGCTGACGGAGTATCCAGAATAGTCGCCGTACGCCTCTCCGTCGATGTCTCCGCCAAGTTGGGTCCAGGCGCCACTGACAAGCTCAAACGCGCGGGCGTGGCCACACCCGTCCCCGTCCTCGCCACACCCGGCGTTGTACATCGCGCCGACGGCGACCCCGGTGCCATCCGCCGAGAGGCTGACGGAATTGCCCGCGCGGTCGGCCCTCGCCTCTCCGTAGATGTCTCCGCCAAGCTGGGTCCAGGCCCCGCCGGCGAGCTCGAACACACGGACTAAGCCGGTGGCGCAATTTGTCGTGCCATCAAACCCGGTGGCGCAATGCCAGTTCAAGCCGACGGCGACCCGCTCCTCCTAGGGAGTGTCTAGGAACCTTCGAGGAGCTTTCTAGGCCACGACCACCACGACGGCGACCCGGAGAGCTCCGACATCGACAGGCACTTTCAGCAGATCGCCCACGGGCCATGGATTGAGTTCTGGTGGCGGCTGCTCTCGCCCGCCCTCGGCCCGGCCCTCTGCTTCGTCACGATCCTCTGCTACTACGGCCTCAACGAGGTCTGCAGCCGACGCGGCCCCTTTCGCTGCTGTGCCCCCCCCACACACACGCCTCCTCGGCCGACTTTTTTCGACACAGCAAAGCTTGCCCGCCCCCCTGCCGCCCCCCTCGCAGCGAGCCCACGCGTCAAGCCCACTAGGTCCGCCTTCGTGCCACCAGGTCGCCCGCGACTTGGAGGAGCCCTTCCTCTACCCGCCGAACGACCTCCCCTGCTCGACCTTCCAAGACGACCTCAACCTGCGCCTGCTCGCGAGCGCGCAGGCCGCGTGCGACGGCGAGGCGCCCTTTTCTGGTTTTGACGAGAGGACGAGCCGCGCCGAGGAGGAGGCGGAGGCGCAGGCCGCAGGCGCACTCCTCGAGTGGGTGCGAGCTGCCGCGGAGCCGCCGAGCGCGGGGCCGTCGCCGTGCGAGCACAAGCCGACGCCTCTCGACGCGAGCCAGTCCTTGCCGCAGGACGACGCCTCGGCGCGATCGGACCACCCGATTGCAGCCGCGCTGCGCAGGTACACCGACTACCGCAGCGCGGGGTGGGAGGCGCGGCGGTCGAACCGCAATTCGATTCTGCACTGAGCACCGAACACGACATTGCGACGTCGTGCGATCTCGTTTTATTAATTATTATTTCGTAGCAAACGCACGCAAAACGCGAAAGGCGCAGAGAACCTAGACACGCACAAACTCCTCCTCTTCCTCAGTTCTCTTCCCGCTGTCGGTCGCGGCCGCCACTGACCATCGCCGGACGGACAGCGCCGAGGTGACCCGCCCGGAGCTATTCTGCCCCTCTGGTGCCGTGCTGGCTCTATGCAGCGCGACCCCCTCCTGAACGATGACGATGTCAGCCGCCGGCGACTCTGGCGAGTCGGGAACGTTCCAGGCACGCTTGCGGCGTGGGGAGCCGAAGTCGTCCAGCTCGAACGCACGGAGCTTCGCACCTCGGTGTGGCGTGGCAACGCATGGCCATACGAGCTGAAGGACGATGCCAGCGAAGAGAAAGAGGAGGAGGAGAACCAGGGCGGATCTCATTATGCCGTCGCTCGCCTGTGCGGCCTGCGTGGCAACGACAGAGACTGCGACGTGCACGAAATCTGGCGGCGGCGGTGGTGGGAAGGGCGGCGGAGCTGGCGGCGGAGGAGAAGGCGACGGTGGCATGGGCGGAGGCGGGTTCGGAGGCGGTGACGGCGACGGTGAGGGAGGCGGAGGCGATGGCGGGAGCGGCGGGAGCGGCGGCGGAGCGGCGGGAGGCAGCGGCGGAGGCGACGGTGGCAGCGGCGGAGATGGCGGCTCTGGCGGCGCGGCGGGTGCAGACTCGCCGCCCCAGAACCACGTGATTTGGCGCGCCGTGCTATAGGCAACACCCACGGGCTGCGGCATCAGCGGGAGGCTTCGCGTGGGCTGCAGCATCAGCTCCTCAAGCCACCCTTGCGGGGCCAGCGGGCAGGAAACCTCCTTGCGGCAAGCTTTTTTTGAGCTTAGCCTTCGATGTTATGAAACAACGCAAGGCGGACATGGCATATCGCTCTCGGGCTCACAGACATCCCTCACACCCGCCGCACACCCGCCGCCCCCGCGCGCGCCCCACCCCGGCCGGGAGAAAGGGGAGTGACAGTTTGGGATTACGAGCCCGAGTATGTTGAGTCCTGGCTCAACAACGCAGAGAACAAGAGGGGGTGGTCCGGCTCACAAGTCCGGCTCACGCGCCTCGAGCTCGCCATCTACCGCACTGAGCACTTCCGCCCCCTCGCTCCCAACCCACCCACCTCGCCGACCGCAGAACCGCGCGATCTCGGGCGATCTCGGGCCGCGCCGCGCGATCTCGGGCGATCTCGCGCTATCTCGGAGCTCCACGCCACGCCGCTTTTTTTGCCTTATGCGCCGCCAGGCGCCCGCCCCGGCGGTTCACTTCGCTCCGCTCGTTCACTTCGGCGCCGAGGTTCACTTCGCTCCGCTCGTTCACCGCCAGGCGCATGAGCCGGACTTGGGGGCCGGAGCCATGTCCGCCTTGCTTTGTTTGTTTCCTAACATTCATCGAGAGAGAGATTTTTTTGTTTGTTCATCGATCGAGAGAGATTTTTAGCAATACCAAACAACTTTGTTGTTGTAACATCGAAGGCTAGCTCAAAGAGAGAAAGAGAGCAGTAAGCTAAACGTACGTAAGCTCTCTGCTAAACAAAACACAAAGTGCGCGCCGGGCTGGCTCCGTCCGGGGCTCGCCCGCGCACCGCGACAAGGAGGGCAAACCCACGGGACGAGTGGACTGCTTCAAGGCCGTCGGCACCTTCTTTGGCGACCCTGAAGCCTGCAAAAAGGCGCTCACCGCGCACCTCAGGAAGAAGCTCGCGCCGCTCGACGTC